ACTAACATTGCAACTACAGATAACTAAACTTGCAACTACATTCAACTAAACTTGCAACTGCAAACAGATACAACTAACATTGCAACTACAGAGAATTAACCTTGCAACTACAGACAACTAGTCTTGCAACTACAGACAACTAACCTTGCAAAAACGGATAATTAAACTTGCAACTACATACAACTAACAGTGCAACTACAGATAACTAAACTTGCAACTGCATTCAACTAAACTTGCAACTGCAAACAGCTAACCTTGCAACTAGATACAACTAACCCTGCAACTACAGACAATTAACCTTGCAACTACAGACAATTAACCTTGCAACTACAGACAATTAACCTTGCAACTACAGACAACTAACCTTGCAACTATACATAACTAACCTTGCAACTAGATGGAACTAAACTTGCAACTACAGACAACTAACCTAGCAATTACGGACAACTAAAATAGCAACTACAGACAATTAATCTAGCACCAACAAACTGCTAACCTTGCAACTACAGAAAAAATAACATTGCAACTACATACAATTAAACTTGCAACTGTATACAACTAACCTTGCAACTACAGACAACTAACTATGCAACTATCAATGGATATTCAAGCACATATAATAGCAAAACAAGAAAATATTCAAATAAATTGGGTCAACGGGTCAACGCCGTAAGTCAATGGTCAACGCCAGAGTCAACTAATTATTTTATTATTTAATTAATGTATATTTTAATTGATTTTGATCTAGAAAAAATGAGTGGCTAAGATTGAGTCTCACTTACTCATTTTAAAAAGTGGTCTTATTGGATCCACCCCTATATATATATAATATTACTTTTTATATATTTAGTGGTATTGATGTATTATATATTTCTATATGTTTAGCTCTATATTTTATTTATATGTAATGTAATAGTTAAATATTATTTTGTAGGATAATTATATTCATATAGAATTCTGAAATTAAAATGAAATATCATCATTTCTTTTTTTCCGAAACGATAGAAGATATTATAAATCAAAAAATACAAAAATGCAAATACACAGCAGCCAACGGCTGAATACACAGCAGCCAACAGCTGAAAAAATGGGAGGACAGGCCTGAAGACCGCCTAGAATCCCGGCTAGCAACGCTAGAATAAAAAACACTCGCAACTAAACTAACCAACAACACAAACCACTAAAACAAACTACAAGACCCCAACAGGGTAATACCCGAGTGTCGGACCCCACCAGAGAAATAAGGTGACACTCGGGCGCACTGAGGTCAATGACCCAAACAAAAAAAAAAACATAACATAACATCAACACTCATACAAAAAGCCCAAACAAAACATGATCCTACCATACAAGACAGCAAAAAGGAAATAAAAAACACAAACACAAGTCCTCCCTCTACAGCAACTCCTAACCAGACTAGCAGCCACCAAATCAACCCAGGGGAGACCCACCGCTTGAGATAAACGATCCTCCACTGCAATTAAGCCAAGATGAATCACAACTCGAGCCACGAGACCCTCCAAAAGCTGATTCTCCCCCACACCCAAAGTACCAAGGAGCTCCCAACACAACCAACCGAGCCCCCTAACACCACTAGAGGGCTGAGGAGAACCGAGAACACACCGAATCCTAAACACAAGGAGCCGGGAAAAAGGAGCTGATTTAATACCTCAGCCTAAGCCACCCCAACCCGAAGGCCAACAAATCTGAGCACCTCAAGAGCCCACCCTAGAACCACCGAACACCGCCGACCGCAGGCAAAAGAAAACCGAGACAAGATCGGAAGGAAGGAGACTCACCCTCAATCGAGATCGACAACTACCCAATCGTCGACCAAACGCGCTCCGCCTTCACACACCAAACTGCCGGCAAAAAAGAACAAAGCGGTCCGACGGCTCCTGAACCCCGTGGCGGCCGGAAGCACGCCGTCGAAGTCGAATTCGGGGAAAGGGAGAGGACCTCCTGATAAACCCAAGCATTCAACCGAAAATGAAGGACTGCCAGAGTTGCCCCGACCCAGACCCAGAGCACCGCGATTCAAGGTCGCCCCTCAGCCACGAATTGATCGGCGATGGTGAACCTTAGTCCGATTCCGAAGAAAAATGAATTAGAACTGCACCACCATGACCTCCGATGACAGAGGCGAGCTTGGTCGCGGCATCTGGGGGGGACCGGGCGGCGGCGAGGAGGGGACTGCCAGAGAGGCCGGCAGCCGAGAGAGAGAGGCGTTGATTTTCAGTGAAGAGCTGCGGGAAGAACAGGGATTTTTGGGGTTTTTCTCGCTGCGGGAAGAAGTATGTTTGCACTTTAATTTATTTCAATGTGCGGATGAGTGTTTTATTTGTGTCTATGTATGTTTGCACTTTAATTTTCAACTTTCAAAGAATATTTATTTATCCAATTTTTTATGTATATGAATTTGAACATTATAATTAATTTTATCACATAAATTGCTAATCGAATTTAATATAATAACGTGGTTTAATTTATAAATTGTAAAATATCTGTGTAGTATTGAAAAATTGTAAAAGTTGATAAAAAAAATATTTCGAGAATATTCTTTTAGGTTTGAGAATGAATTTTTCGGTTGGAGACGAATTACTGTTTGATTGGACAGTTACTGCAAAATAAGTTTGAAAATGAATTTTTTAGTTGGAGATAGGGGTGTTCACGGTCTGGTTTTAACCGAAAAAACCGTCAATTCGGACCGCGGATCGGTTAAATGGTCGGTTAAAAAAGCCTTAAAAAATCCGGTGGTTAATTTTTTTAAAAATCCGGAATAACCGGCCAGGTTAACGGGTTACCTGTG